TTAAATAATTGATTAAATTGTAAACAAATTGGGTAACGTTTTATGTATTAAAGGAAAAAGGAGACGTAAAAATTTAAAGTATTCCTCCATCATCCAGTAATGACATTTAATACTTCAAATTCCTTTTTTTTTTTTTTTTTTAAGGTAGAGTTTCTCTTTACTGAATGTGATTCAAGTCCTTTGACTTAGATATGTCTTCCAACTGTGAATTTTATTTTGGTTATCAAGTCATGGATTTAAACCTAAAATTAACTAGATTTATTGTGTTGGTCAGTTCTGTCAAAATGAAGTTGAGCGTACATGACCTTACAATTTGAATGTAGTTTATTGCTATTTTTAGATGATGGCATAGGAACTATTAAGTTCCAATTTTATGCTTCATTTTCAAAATAAATTTTATTCTTTTGATTTACATAAAAGCTAATAATGATATTTTGTGTGCCTGTATACATTGCACTGATTTTCAATTAATTCTGGTTAAAATGTTATATGCAAACTAATGTTCTGAGGTCATTGTAAAAGCAGTGGATGGAGAGTTTTCCCATGGTCCTTTCTTAGTCTACTATGTCAGGATTCTGTTGTTTGTCCAATGTCTTAAAAAATTGAATGCTTCTACATGTCATTTTGTGCATCTACATTCCTTGGAAAGCTTCCAGTCACATTTGAATTATGCTTTGCAGGTTACAGAGTCTGATGCTGTGGATATTGTAGAGGTTGCTATTAAGTGTCATACCTCTGATCTCACTACTAAGGCCATGGCTTTTATTGCTTTGCTAAAGCTGTCTTCTCGTTTCCCATCTTGTTCAGAGTATGTTGATGATTTTTTCTTTTTCTTTTTCAGCATGCATTGTGTTCTTTATTTTTGTAGTTTATCTCCTGTTAGGACTTACAAAATGATTTTTTGTTGAATCCTCTGAATCCTATTGCAGGAGGATCAGGAACATAATTGTCCAACACAAAGGAAGCCTTGTGCTTGAGTTGCAGCAGCGATCTATTGAATTCAATTCCATTCTTGAGAAGCATCAGAATATTAGGTTTGTGGTTAAAGGATGTTGTTTTTTTCCTTATTAGTTTCTTGATTGAATATTTTTGGTGTTGCAGTGTATTTGTGAGTTATTAACTTAATGAATAAATTCATGCAGATCTGCACTGGTTGAAAGGATGCCAGTTTTAGATGAGGCAACTTTCAGTGGAAGGAGGGCAGGTTCTGTGCCAGCAGCTGTTTCAACTTCAAGTGGGGCTTCACTTAATCGTCCAAATGGAGTTTTTAAACCAGCTGCAGCTCCTATTGCAGACCTCCTTGACCTAAGTTCAGATGATGCCCCTACAGCTAGCCCTCCTGGTGGTGATTTTCTTCAGGATCTTCTTGGTGTTGATTTGCTACCAACCCCAGCTCCTTCAGGTTAGTTCTGGGGTGCATTAAGGCACACCTTTATTCTCAAATACCAGAGAAATGGTAATTGTTTATTTTAAGATATCTTCTTTGTTTTGAACTGCATAATTGTTATTTAATTTAAGCCCTCACATATTGCAGCATTTATTTAAGAGTAATTATTTTGTTCATTTACTAAGTTTTTCAACATTTTATTTAATTTCACATGCTCTCTTGTCTCTTTTTAAGAAAAATCTAATTATAGCAGTCGACACTTAGTTATCCCAGATTAAAATCTAGCTGAACACTTTTAGCAAAATTATAAATTCTCCAAGTATTTACTTTATTTAACATATTTAAGAATGTGAGAGCAATGTAACATTAAGAGTTAATTCTCCCAGCCTTTCCTTTCCTGTCTCATCCATGTCTGAAAGGTAAACCTTTTTTGTGCTAACATAGGCATATTCATGGTTTGTTTGCTTTTAATAGCTCAGTGAGTTTTGGTGCCTTGTTATAATTTTGGTTTGTTTCTGGATTTTGTCTCTTACCTTGCTAGGAGCAAGCCAAACCGCAAAAGCTGGCACAGATGTTCTGTTGGATCTTTTGTCTATTGGGACACCACCCCCTGCACAAAGCAGCTCATCTATGTCTGACATATTATCCTCTAGTCATGATAATAAAATGCTACTCACCAATTTAGATGGACTCATGCCGCATTCACTTTCCACACCTGCTGCTTCACCTGCAACTGCTGCTCCAGTGTTGGATTTGTTGGATGGCTTTGCCCCCAGTCCAAAAAAGAAGGGTAAGGTTATGTTGACATTAGAACTCTGTTTAGCAGGCATTGGTATTGCAGAAGTATTTATAGCTGTTTTTTTTCCTGTGAACAGAGGAAAATGGTACTGCTTATCCTTCAATGGTCGCATATGAGAGTAGCTCCTTGAAGATAACATTTAACTTCTCAAAGTCATCTGGAAATCCACAAACAACATTGATCCAAGCTACTTTCACAAATTTGTCACCAAATGTTTATACAGATTTTCTATTCCAAGCAGCAGTTCCAAAGGTAAGACAGGATAGTTTTTTTGCTGAGTCTTTTTTGTTACTGGCTGTACTCTCTTAGAATATGTAACTATGTAAATCTATAGTTGGACATTGCTCACCCTTGTGAGATGTGGATTACTTGCATTGAAGTTTTTTCTTTAATTTCTTTCTCTATTTATCATGGTGAATTTAGAACTGTGCAAGAATTTAGAACTGTGCAACTAACCTTTAGATGTTCCTCATATTTAGGCTTGCTAAGATAGTGGTATTGATATTTTGTTGCTATTTAAAATCTGCAGTTCCTCCAATTACACTTAGATCCAGCCAGCAGTAATTCTCTGCCTGAAAGTGGTAATGGGTCCATCACACAAAGCTTGGGAGTCACAAATAGCCAACATGGAAAGGTATGCATACAGAGTTTTATAAATCTTTATATTGCTGATTCTGAATTTCTTCTCTTGTTAAAAACAAGGCTATATTTTGTTGTTTGATTTTTCTAATTGTTTGTTCATATTGTACCTCTTCTAATAATATATGACAGAAAGAAAAATGCAATTACCTAATGCTTTGGGACTAGTGAAGACTCCTAGTTCTCTAATATTTGTTACATTTTCAGAAATCACTAATCATGCGCATAAGGATAGCCTACAAGTTGAATGGCAAAGATGTTTTGGAGGAAGGACAAATCAGCAATTTCCCCCGTGAATTGTTAGGTTGATTGATCCTCCAAGGTGATAAAGTTTATTTTATTTTATGTACCACCTTATTTTTTACCCCTCAAGAGCTTCTTCTTCCCGTCTGTAGTGATAATGCAATCTTTTGTTTCTTTACTTGTATTCAAGGTGCCATTTAGCATGTGGCAATCTCTACACAGATTTTGCTTCATTTTGATTGTGTGAAAGGGGTCACACTTTTCATTTGCCATTTTTCCTGTCATAGGTGATTTATGTATATTAGTATAAAATCTTCTGTATGGAAACATGGGAATTGAATTTTGGCTTAGGCACAGAGATATTTTCATATTTGCAACTTAGAATGAGGAGTGTTTTTCTTGCAATGTAGTGTGGATTTATAGACTCGGAAGCCTTAATTGTTCAAGAAAACTTGTGTCAAAATTCAAGAGGTAATATTAAGTTTCTATGTTTAGTGTATTTGAGCCTAGACATTATTTCTCCTTTTTCAACATTTTTATATTACATATATGCTGCTTATCGTCCCCTTCAATGGAGAATTTTGTATGCCTCCTCATCTGTATCTAGGATCCGATTTGTATCGTTGATAATAATAGGAACTTAGGTGGTATGGCAAAGAGAAGTTTTTTGTGGATTGATAAGGAAACTACATGGAAAGCCATGTAGTCATCTTATAGCATTTTCTTGGTTACATTTTGTTAGGAAGTTGAAAATGTTACTGCATCTTGAAGCAATGGCATTTTGTCGATCTTCGAGGAAGAATTCCAAGGAACCTCTCCGTTATTCACCAAGTAGAATATTATACTGTATGGGGTTAACATAAAGTCCAAAGCAGTGCAGCAGCTTCAATCTTTTTAGTATTACTATACTTGATTAATTTATCTACGAAACAACCATCTAGATTGATATTGATTACTGTAAACGAAGGAAATCCCTTGGATTCTCCCGCAAAAAAGCCCTTTAATCCATGGAATCTCTTTCCATGCAAGCCGTGCAGCATGAAAAAGATGGGAATCAATTCATGTGGTGCTAATGCCAAGTATTGACTTCTGAAGGAGTATTGTGCATAGGTATTTCTCAATTCATACATCATTCGATGACTTTTTCTCGGCTTGTGTGCTCCATCGGTTTGTTACTTTCTTTTGTGTGCACATGGGCTATTTAATGATGCTTGGAAAACAAAATCATAATCCTAATCCTAACAAAATTATTGAACCAACTATCATTTGAGAAAAAATTTTCTTGTTTAAATTGATTATGGTTGTGAGGATGGTATAGAGATAATTAATTCGATAATTAGATTAGCGTTGGAGAATACTATTGAGACCCCACACTCACAGTCACAGGCTACAATCCACTAACTCATGTCTGGCATCAGCCTTCAAGTTTTAAATAATGGCTCCCCACAAAAATCCCTCAATGCACTTTTTAGGGATCCCACCATCACCCCCAAAAACGCATTATCATCATTCAAACCAAAAGTGGTTTCTTCTTGGAGATCGAAGGGAGGGAATTTTTACCATAGCTAAAACTTTAGAGGAAACCCCAGAGGTGTTCACAAAAAGAGCACCATGTGATTTGACATCTCAGTAATTGAATTCCTCCCTCTTTCATGATTAGTGTTCTTTTCTTCCAGTGGTGGGGAACGGAAAGGAGATGCCCCTGGTCCCCCATGGTCTATTGCATCTAATGCTGTCACTAGAAGTTACTAACATGGTAGGAAATTTCTTGATCAATGAAAGCAATGTAGGGTTAGTGCTCATGCAGAGACATTAAAAGCCTGAAACATAAGGCAGATATTTTGCGAAAGGAAAAGCATTTCTCAAATTTACATATGCATTGACTAAGAGCTATGCTAAAAAGATGAAGTAGATTGTTATTTTTCATAACTTAAAAAGCATTATATTTTATAGAGGTTGCTTTGGAATTTGCAGGAAAGAATTAATTCTTAGAGGAAAAAGAAAGCAAATCCCAAAAAGAGAAGCTTTAAAGAAATGGATCCATTAATGTAATGAAGTACAAAGAGTAAATACCTTCATGTAACCTGAGTTCTACCATCATTCCGTGGCAAACCAACTGTACCAGAAGAAGACCCTACAGATGTATCTGAAGAACTTGGAAATTTACCCTTCTTAGACCATTGCCATATCTTGGAAACAGAAAAGCTTTCACCTTTACTTCTGAGGCTGATCTTCTTCCCCTCAACATCTGCATCATTTGAAGAATTCTCATTTTGTCCACCTCTCCCTCTCACAAACCTTACACTAGAACTTGTATTACCACCTCTACTGCGGCATAAGGCCACCTGCAACTCCAGATCAGCTTCAATATATTGGTATGACCCCATTGAGTAGCACCTCCTTGCACCCAAATCACGGCTGCTGCTCTCTCCCTCTTCTCTTACCACCCCACCACCCCCATCTCCTTCCGCTCCATCATTAGAGCTTCTAAATTTCCCAAGTCTAACTGAAAAGACCCTCTTTCCAATATCATTCGCAGCTGGTTTTGGACCAAGAGAAATCCCCCTTCCTTCATTGCTTGGTAATCCATCTTCTTCCCTTGGATCTTCAAAGTCAAAAACTGGGTTTTCAAAAGGAAACCCCGGTGTGAAAAGGGTTCCTCTACAAAGAGGGCAAGTTGAATTAGACAGTAACCATGTGTCTATACAATCAATGTGAAAAGCATGACTACACATAGGAAGCAACCTCAACTTGTCCTTTAGAGAGAATTCAGAAAGACAGACTGCACAATCAAATGGCTCTTTCAAACCCATTATCTCCTTGTACAGAAACACAGGCAGGGCATCTATGAAAGCCTGATCTAGACCTGAATCATGAAGGTGGAAGAGTTGCTGTAACTGTCTTTGGAAAGCATCAGACCCCGACATTTCAGGGTATCTGTCGGATTCAGATACCGATGAGGGAGATCTATGCTTCAAGATAAATCTAACAAGCAAGTGAAGAAGACCAGATATGAAAAATATGACAGCAAGGATAACTATGATGAACAAAACAACAGGACTTATTTTACTACCAGACGATGAAGATGGGGTTGATTGCTTACGATAATCACTATGATATGGCAATGGAGAGTAAGTAGAAGGAGGAGGAGAGGAAGAAGAAAGTAGAGAACGAAGCTGAAAGCTCAGAAGACAAATTTTCTGCTTGATTTGAGATTGAACCCAAGACATTTTAGAAAATGGGCATGCCAAAAACCATCACTTGTAACCTACTTCCAATTCCATGGATCAAACAAAGTGTCACCTATATGCAACTCCAAGATATTTCACTAGCTTCCACTGAGATCAAGCCCAACTCACAAACTGAGGTGAACAAGCAAACACCTTCATTACTTTATCTTACAACCACAAGAAACCTAAATTTGACCCAGAAGTTGGAATTGAAATTATTGCTTAACAGTAGAAGACTTGGCACTAACACTACCAACTTCTTTCCTGCTTGGACATGAAACTCAAGTGATTGGTGTAAAAATACAGTGGTAAGTCTTCTTTACCAGAGTCAAGACTTTGGTTTACCTACCTCAGTTGTACTGGAAAAATGTTGCATTAGTGGTGGTGCCCCATTTAACAATCAGTGTCAGTTGCAGGAGGAAAAACCCTAATTGGAGCAGCAGTCTTTTGAGGGAGAATTAATTCCTTTTATATTTGGAACGGAAACGTTGGCTGTGAGAGAACAGCAAGGGTGTGGCAGTTGTGTGCTGATAGGCATTCTGCCAAAGGAACTTCAAGGGCAGATTCGTCATTTAATATATTATGAATTCTCTGATTTTCAAAGTCTACAATATCATTATGGCCAAACAAAAAAAAAAAAAAAGTATACAATCATTAAAATAAATTCCACAAAATTTGGAATATATACGTTAAAAAAATTAAAAATTTTATCATGATTTATATAGTTATAAACATTTTTTTTTCCTATTGTCTCCCTCCTCACAATTTCAGAGTTGAAACTTGATATTTCTAACTTAATTTTAAGTCCTTGGCAGTTGAGATATTTCCTCAAATGTGTTTCATGTTTGAGTCATGTTTTTGCTGGTTATTATCCAATTTATGTGTTTAATTTGTTGTTATTCATTGAATAAATAAAATGTGACCTAATTAAAACTAGTGTTTGTAAAATGTGAAAACTTATTTTATTTTAACCTTTAGTATTTTTTTTTGTTTAAATTTTTAGAGTGTCTACCAACTTATGTGTGCTTCAATTAGACTTATTTCTTTAAAAAAATAATTGTGAGATAGTGTTTTTGTATAAATTTTTTATATAATCTTGTATGTTATTTATTAATTAACTTTTTTTTTTATTAAAATTTATTATATAATACATATTTATTTAAAAATATATAAATATCATAGAAAAAATTATTTACATATTATTTCCGATTTATTTATTTGTAATCCTCACGGTCTTCCTTATGCCATGATGATGGTATCAATCCTGTTACGTATGCTGTAACTTGGTGAATCGTATTGGACCTAAGCCTAAGATGATCAATGGGCTATGCATGGCCCATTCTAAATATACATTGGAACATTGGATTGATTTTTTTTTTTTTTTCCAAGTTCTAATGGATCAAAATCATCTCAAAATGTCAGGTTCAAAACCTAAGGCCCAATTCTAAACTCTCTGTGTCCCGTGATCTCATCAGTGACCCGGCCGTGGTTATCCACTGTATATTTTAGTATTACCTTAAAATGATTTAGTTTGATTAATATTTTATTTATTTAAGTTTTTATTAAATAATTAATTATAATATTTTAAAATATTAATATATAAACTAATTTTAATATGTTAATAAATAATCAACATTAATTATTTTAATAGTTAAATTAAATAAATTTAATAATCGTAACAAAATAATGAGTAAAATATAATTAGATTCAAATAATAGTTTTAAAAATTTTAATTTTTTTAAATATTGGTCTTGACTCTTGATTACCAGTCAATGAAACCTTGTGCTTATAGGGCACAGTTCTAAAATTGGTAACTAACTATGCCAAAATAAAAATAAAAAAGGGTAACCACCAAATTCAATACTCCTAAAGCACACAAAGACAACCAATTACATAAGTAACCAATAATAATTTCTTTTTAATAGAATGACATAAGTAATTTAATTATATTTTTTAA